AGAGGGGAGTTTTTACACTTAACATCTTTTTTCCACAGTCATGGTATCTCCCACTATCTTACTCCACCATATACACCTGAACATAATGCCACTGCTGAACGGCGTCATCGCCACATTGTTGAAACTGGGATTACCACTGTTACATGTTGCTCATCTCCCATTATCTTTTTGGTCTTATGCCTTCCAAACGGCTGCATATCTCATAAACAGGCTTCCCACCTCTGTGTTAAACAATCAATCTCCCTTTCAATGGCTACATGGTTATGCTCCTAACTATGAGAAATTGAGGGTATTCGGCTATCGTTGCTATCCTTGGACACGTCCTTACAACTATCCTTGGACACGTCCTTACAACTCTAACAAGCTGCAACCAAGATCTCGTCCATGTATCTTTGTGGGATACTCCACCAATCAGAGTGCCTTCAAGTGTCTTGATCCGACAACTCAAAAATTGTATATCTCTCGGCATGTGGATTTTGTTGAAACAAGTTTTCCATTTGCAACTTTGGACAGCAATACTGAACGGTCTACTGAATCTACGGTTGCCAATTGGGCACCACATGTTATTCTTCCGCATCACCGGTTCGAGACACCATCAAGATCTATCAAGATCTACACACACACCATCACTAGGCGGTTCTTCACCATTGTTGTCCTCTGTGCCTCGTCCTTCGCGCAACTCCATGACACAGCAACCTGCCACCTCAGGTACTTCTCCTGCCCCTACTGATTCTAATACTCATTCCACTAATTTTGCTGGTGCTTTGCCAAGGGATTCGACTGTTGTTCCTCTCATCACTCACCCAATGGTCACCCGCAGTAAAAACAATATTCATAAACCCATTCAAAAATTATGTCTTGCGACTGCTGGACCTTCATTATCCCAGATATCTGTTCCCCGAACTGTTGTGCAGGCTCTCAAAGTTCCTGAGTGGCGTCAGGCCATGGAAGACGAGTATGCTGCTTTACTAAATCAGCATACATGGACACTTGTTTCGTCTACTTCAGCTGAGAATTTGGTGAGCTGTAAATGGCTTTTCCGAGTAAAAATTGATTCTGCAGGTACTCCTATCCGATACAAAGCTAGGTTGGTTGCTCGTGGTTTCACTCAAAGGCCCGGTTTGGATTTTGATCAAACATTCTCTCCCGTTGCCAAGCACACAACAATTCGACTTGTTCTCACCATTGCTGTCACTCGTGGTTGGAAATTACGGCAAGTCGATGTGAATAACGCCTTTCTCCATGGCAAACTCACAGAAACAGTGTTCATGCATCAACCACCGGGATTTATTGATAGTACGAACCCCTCTCATGTTTGTCGTCTCAATAAATCCCTCTACGGTCTCAAGCAAGCTCCACGTGTTTGGTATTTGTTCATGCATCAACCACCGGGATTTATTGATAGTACGAACCCCTCTCATGTTTGTCGTCTCAATAAATCCCTCTACGGTCTCAAGCAAGCTCCACGTGTTTGGTATTATGCATTACAACAGTATCTAAAGGACCTCGGCTTTGCTAACTCCCACTCGGATACTTGTTTGTTCATATACTCGAAGGGTCAAGTGCTCATTTATGTTGTTGTCTACGTTGATAACATCATTATTACCGGTAATCAACCTATGGATGTGGAGGCTTTTATTCTCAAACTTTGCTCTAAGTTTTCACTTAAGGACTTGGGTGATTTACAGTATTTTTTAGGGGTTGAGGTCACTCACCTACCCACGGGGGTGTTTCTTTCTCAACAAAACTACATGAGGGAAATTTTGGAAAAGGCAAAAATGGAAGGAGCCAATCCAGTTAACACACCCTTGTCTCCAACAACATCTCTCTTTCTTGATGATTTTGCTCACTTGTCAAATGCCTCTGCGTATCGAGCTCTACTTGGCAGTCTACAATACTTGCTTTTGACTCGACCGGACATCTCTTATGTCGTCAATAAACTGTCCCAATTTAGCTCTCGTCCTACAGTCAACCATTGGGCAGCCCTAAAAAGGCTTCTTCGGTATCTTGTTGGCACCTTTGATTTTGGCATTTTTCTGCATAGACAGTCGTCCCTTAACTTGCATGCATTCTCCGACTCTGATTGGACGGGTAATCGAGATGACCGCACCTCTACTAGTGCTCACATCTTATACTTGGGACGTAATCCGATTGCTTGGAACTCAAAGAAATAGAAGACAGTGGTGAGATCGTCCACTGAAGCGGAATATAGATTGGTAGCGAACACATCTATTGAGCTTTCGTGGGTTATGAATACTCTCACTGATTTAAAGATTTCTACTTTGCATCCACCACTGGTCTACTGTGACAATCTTAGTGCTACATATGTAGCTGCCAACCCAGTCTTTCACTCCAAAATGAAACATATAGCTATCGACTATCACTTTGTTCGGACTCAAGTTCAAGAAGGGAAACTTCGAGTTGCACATGTCAAGTCTGAGGATCAACTTGCGGACATGTCAGTCTGAGGATCAACTTGCGGATCTGCTCACCAAGGCACTCCCCAACATCCCAATTTCCTCAAAAACAAGGAGAACAAGATTGCAAGATTGGCGTTACTCCAAGATCCGCCATCTTGCGGGGGTGTATAAGATAATGTATAGTGTAAACAGAATCATTATTATTTATAGTAACTTTATATATGCCTATCATATCCCGTAATTGTGGGATCATCCCGTAATTGTGGGATCACAGCTATAAGCTGAATGTATATATATATACTGTCATCTTCCTCTGTAAAATATAGAAATATACATAATTCTCATATCACTTCTATAACGCCGAGGTTGTTTGGGCCTGTGTTCGTCCTGAACTTACTAATTGTGTACGAATGTGTGCTTCTCTCGGGAGAAATTCAATATCTCTTGTAATAAAAAAAAAAAGTTTATTATTTATTTGGATTGAAAACGAACTCATACTAAACCCAATTTAGGTTAGGTTAGATTGTGTTAATATATTATATAATAACTTAAAACTTTTCTTTTAGAAATTAAAATTCAATTATTAATTATTAATTATTAATTATTAATTATTAATTTAGTGATCAATATATACTTCAAATTATGTAGATTATGATTTTATTAAAAATATATAAGGGGAAGATATTGTTGATGAAAAATTATTAATTTATTTATGAATTTTTGTAAAAAATTATATGTCAATTTTTAATTTTTCACTTTGATCTATTGAAACTCTCTATTTATAAAATTATATCTATTAAATATTTTAAAAATATTTTAATTAATAAAATTATTAATAATTATTATATTAAATGCCCAACTTGTAATGAGCAAAGTCTTTCGAACAAAAATATTTGTTGAATAATTAAAAAATGTGAAAATTAGTTTTAGAAAATAATATTAATTAGGGGGTGAGCAAAACAACTAATCGAAATTACCTATTTTAGTTGGGTTCAGTAAACGCATTGAAAGAGAATTTTGTTTTATGAGTTAGTTAGTTTGAACTGAAATTATTAGTGATTCGGCTTGATTTTACAAAAATTAACTGGTTAGACTTAAAATTAGTTCCAAATGGTACAAATTGATCAAAATCGATTGGTTCAATATGGTTGAATTTAATATCAATTTTGCTTCGATTGCAATCAAACAAAATTCAAATTTAGATTTTTAACTTTGGTTTGGTTAGGTTTGAATCAAATGAACCATTTTCTCATCCCTAATATTAATTACACATCAAATCATTAATGCTAGTATATAAAAATATATAAAATTACTAAAATCAAAAGTATTTTGTTATAAACATTGACTATTTGTTATAAAAATTGACTGTAGTTTCACCTTCTAAGCATGATTGTTAAGAATCAGAAAATTGTATTTTAACTATGGGCTTCATGACCCACTTATTCTACTGTGTTTACACTTGGAATCGTAAACATTTTGACTTGTTCATATAACTGGTATATAGCTGTTAAATATTAGTTCATACAGTTAACTGCTTTTGGGTTAATGTTCTTAAACGTCATGGAATTTGATGGAACCCATATAAGTTTAAAAATCTTATAATGATTCCTTTTCAATTGATCCTCAAGAAGAAGACTACAATTCCCATCTTGGATCGTTTTTGAATGTCTTCTGTGTACCATGGCATATGGGCATGCTAGAGAAGCAACAAGGCTCAAGAACTCAACAAATCTCACATAACAGTCATTTAACTTACAAATCTAGTCTCAGTTTATCAACGTCAGAAAAAATAAGAAAATCATTCCCTATCAAATTCTTCTGTCAACTGTATGTTTTATTTTGGAAAAACATTTAACATTGGAAACAAAACGAGGAAATTGAAACCAAGTTTTATTTTGAAAAACATTTACATGGAAACAAACAGAGGAAATTGAACATCTTAATTTCGAGTATTTCATTATTTTGGCAACAGAAAGGAACAAAAAAAAAAAGCCTTTAAGACCAAAATACACAAACTGAAAGCCTTGCAACACAGGCATCAAACCAAACATCTTGAAATCACACGAAACTTGCAGGGACATTTCTTTCAACCAAAAACAGAGGATACCGAACAATACATTTGCGTATGCAAGGAAGGAAGCAATCTTGCTCATATCCATATGAACCCATCATTCAAATGCACAAATTCAGCATTTCCCAACACATTACTAACTGAATTGAATTGAATGTAGACAAGTTGAAAATACTAAATAATACTGAAAAGAAACAACACATATGTTTTGACATATGTTTTGAATCCAATACCTTGAATTTTCCATTTAAATGAAATCAACATGTATTGGATTACATCCAGAAAACACCAACATGTTCCTTTTTTGAAAACAAAACTAAAAAAAAAGAAAACCACCAAAAAAATGTTTTCCCTTGTCATATCTGCAATTAAACAGCAGCCTCAATGGCCCAAAGGTTGTGGAAAGAGGAAGAAGAGAATGTACAAGAGCACTAAACAGAACCAGAACCAGGAATCGATCAGAATCAGACCCCAGAAATTTCTACATATCAGCAAAAAAATCCTCATTCTCATCGATAATCGATCTGATCAAATTCAAAGGTATTAGCATTATCCAGCAGCTCCTCAACACTAAATTCAGTACCCATTGGCTCATCACGATCAGCGCCTACCGTCAAACATTCATCACCTCCAGGAGCCCAGATATCATTACATTCTGCCACAAAAGGCTTTCCAGTGAGTTTCTTGTACAGATAGTGACCTGCTAACTCCTCATCGGTAGGATCGAACCGAAATCCAGGAAGCATGGTTGAATTCTAGTCTCCCGTTCTTGATTTTCTCTAGAAATTCTTGAATTTTCTCAGCTTTCTCAGGGAAAAGTAGCGCAGAAGCCAAATAATAGTCTGATGTTACTTCTTGTTGTTCTTCTACTTGATTATTAGCCCAAAATTCAGTACCCATTTGATCATCAAAATCAGAAGCTATAACCAAACAATCATCATCTCCATTAGCCCTAATCTGGTTATAGTAGGACTCCGCTTCATTGTCATTAGCCTTGATACGCTTATTGCCAGTAATAACCATCTCACAGTTTACAACTTCACCACCCTCACAATCATCTATTTTCCTCTTGCCCTTATTTTTTTCCCCTGTTTTAGACCCATTTTTCCTCAAACAACAGAGCACTAATTCACGGTTCAAATCAGGCAAACTATACTCAAACAAGATCCAACCGCAATGGTGGCTTGAATTTCTGTTTTTGTATTTGAACCTTTTCTTGGTTGCTTCTATCTTAATCCTACAATCAAAATCTGCCCTAGCCGTGACTTCAAAAATTTTCCCAGAATCTTCTCTATGCCAGTTACCCTTACCCTTACCCGTACCAACACTCGATCAACTCTAAAGAATAGTCAGTAATCAGCCGTGTTCTTCTTCTGCGAGGCTTTCTTCTTTATTTCAGTGAAAAAGTAGAGATCCTTAACATCAGTTCTCTCGTCACCACCGAATCTCTTCCAGACTTCCCAGGGCTCTTCTCTTCCATATAATTGGCAGTCACTTACTATCATCCCCGCTGCCGCAAAAGGCTTTCCAGTGAGTTTCTTGTACAGATAGTGACCTGCTAACTCCTCATCGGTAGGATCGAACCGAAATCCAGGAAGCATGGTTGAATTCTAGTCTCCCGTTCTTGAATTTCCCTAGAAATTCTTGAATTTTCTCAGCTTTCTCAGCTTATCGGGAAAAGTAGCGCAAGAAGCCAAAATAATAGTTTGGGATCAAAGCAAAAAGAGGGAAACGAGGGAAAGCAATAAATACCTAATGGAGAGCGCGGATGTTACCGGTATAACCGTTAGAAGAAGATAATTTTGAAAATCTTAGTTTTTATGAGTTGTTGGCGTGTGGGACAGAATAATTTTAAAATCTTTGTATTGGCTATGTATAAAATCTTTATAAGTGTTTAACAAAATTGTGTCTTAACAAAAAAACGCGTTGGTAGATATATTTATTTGCTAATGAAAAAATGAAACTCTAATAATTTTAAATGAGTTGGATTTAAGTAAATTATTATTTAATTATTATGTAATATAAAATTCAAATAATCAATTAGTTCTGCAAGGAGCCTGCAAGTAGCCATAATCGAATATTATAGTATTCAAACTCAGCTTAACTATTGGGTCGAAGCTATTCGAGTTTAAGTTTAAAACAATTAAAATCAAGTTAAACTCAAATTTTTTTTGTTAGTCTAATCGAGATAGCTCATAAATAGTTTAGCTCACTTGCATCTCGAATAACTGGATACCTTGTGCAAAAGACCAAGGTTGATTAAGTTTTACTCCCTAATTAAAAGTATGTGATGTTGTGCAAGAAGTTAAGTTTCAACAATTGACGCTTTTGGAGGCAATTTTTGTAGAAATGATGAAATGTATTTTCACAATTGAAGTTTCAAATTTTAATTTGACTTAAAAATTTCATACATTGAATGTTTATTTAACCACTTTCAATTATTTGATATGCGTTTAATAAGAGTGATTTTTTAAATTAAAATATCCAACAAATAAATTTTTATAAATTAAAGTTCGATGCATCCATTTTTATAGGAATTCAAGTCTTGAATCCAGCGATGAATCTTTATTTTGTTTTTGAGATATTGTGAATGCTAATGGATTGTATTTTCATTGTCTTACAAAATGTGAATTTGGTTGCGCTTAGATATAATGCTTTTACAGAATACCTTTACAACAGAATGTTTAATCTTTTCATTGAAGCTACCACCGTTATATAGTCATTCAAGCAACAGAGCTAGGAGGCCAAAAAAATAAATAAGGAAAAATTTACTATTTAGTCCTTGAGGTTTAAGTGAAACATTCGCAGTAAAAATGGTTGTTTCCCTTTGAGTGTTTGACTTTCATTAATTAGAAATCTCATCACTGCATTAAAAACACAAACAAAGGTAGGAACATTTTGGAGATTTCTGTGAAATAGTCGAATATTGTTAATAACCGTTAACATATAATAATAAAATATATTAAAATAATAATATTAGACTCCTAAATAAACTCTAACTAACAGATAATATAGGATTCGTAATCCTTATCCGGTACATAACAAATAAATAAAATATATTAAAATAATAATCACTAGACTCCTAAATAAACTCTAGACTAACGATGAATGTAGGATTCGTATCCTTATCTAACAGACTATCTAAATCCGTATATTATACTCTAAATTTTGACCCCAATGACGGTGTTATTTCAATAATTTTACTATACCTTCAAATCTGAGAGCTTAACAATTGGTGCGGTGAGTTGTGGAAGACCAACCTTTAAAAACAAACCCTAAAAAATCCCCACAGTTTTTCTTGATTCCTATGGCTAATGATTCTACTGAACGCCTCAACATGGAAGGCCAAGAAAACAACCATGGCGAGGCCAACCAACAACCCACATTCGCCCCTCCAACAACCATTGATCCCTAGGTAGTAGTTACTCTATCTCAGGCCTATTCGTTGTTTACCACTGTGCTGAAATGCCTCTTAGAGAACCCTCAGCCTATCAGCGAGCCAGTACCACCCACTAGGTGGGCGAACCCTCCCCACCTAGAACATAACCTCCCACCCACCTCGCCTAAATACCGAAGTCATTCAGTGTCTGATCGATACCATGAGGCGGAATCGGAGGTAGACCCTAGTGCGACTAAAGGTAGACCCTAGTGCGACTAACCCTAGCAGCCAAAAGCTAAGTCACACTTAGCCAGTCTTGGACGGGGCTAATCTTCAGAATGTTGTCAAGGAATTGGTTTGGGAGTGTAGAGAGACAAGAGAAACATGGGATTATGGCCTCTTATAAGACTCGCCCTTATCAGCTGATATTTTGGCTGCAGCCTTCCCACCAAAGTTCAAACTTCCTACTTTCCAATCATATGATGGATCTACCGATCCCCGAGCCATCTGGCGACCTTCCGAACAATGATGTGCCTTTAAACTAACTCGGAGGATCTAATGTACATGGTCTTCCCAACTACCTTGAAAGGAGCAGCTCAAGAGTAGCATCAAACACTCAAAACAGGGTCTGTTCATTCCTTCTCCTAGTTAGCCACAATATTCCAAGCTTGTTTTATAACATGTGTATCATCTAGAAAAATATCGTCTGACTTGGTAGATTGAAAAAGAGAAGAGGGGGAGACTCTAAGGCATTGCCAAGCTTGTTTTATAACATGTGTATCATCTAGAAAAATATCGTCTGACTTGGTAGATTGAAAAAGAGAAGAGGGGGAGACTCTAAGGCAATACGTATCCAAATTTCAAAGAATGGTGATGCAATTGGAGAACTTGAATGATGAGGTGGGCATTAGCGCCATGGCAAAGAATTACAAGTACAATAAGTTGTTTGAGAGTTTAAGTATAGGCCTTCCCCAGACCTTCGCCGAGCTCATGGTGCGACCTCATAAATACACCAAATTATATGAAGCCTATAAGGCACAACAGCATAGATTGCCTAAAGAAGAGAGGTATAGGATCAGAAGACACTCATCCCCGATAAGGAGACGATCGCCCCGAAGGGGGTTACCCATCCGGCTCCCACGAACTAGTTACTCTGTTCGAATGCCATACTCAAGAGATGGCAGACCACAACAAGATCGGGAGTTTACCCCCTTTAAACAGACCACGCTAAAAAATATTGTCCTGAGTTAGAGAACATGGCGATTAAATTCAGTTCTATTATCCTAGAAAGATGAAGGAGGATACCTTGAGCCATCGAGATAAAAGCAAGTATTGTGAGTTCCATAAGGATGTAGACCATGAGACCGAAGCCTGTTGGCAATTAAAGAAAGAGATAGAATGCCTTGTGCAAAGAGGCGAACTAAAGCAATTTGTTGGGAGAGCTCGGAGGGAAAGTGAATAGAAAGACAAGAAGGTGGAAAAATGTCATAATCTAGGCATAATCCACACCATATTTGGTGGCTCATCGGGGGGTGATAGCAATGCAGCTAGGGAAAGGAGAGTTAGGGAAATCTATTCCATTCTACACAATAGAAATCGAGCGCTAATCCGCTCAAATCATTCTCAGAGGCTGATGACGAACTTCTACATACTCCACACAATGATGCCCTAGTAATTGGGGGAATTTTGGAAAACTTTCTAGTAAAAAGAATATTGGTGGATGAAGGTAGTGCAATGAACTTGTTGACCGTGGAAGTGTTCAAGGCTTTGAAACTAGACCAAGGCTTTGAAACTAGTACCATTGCGAAGCTTTAAACCTGTCCGGCGAAGCTTAAACCTGTCCGAATCCCATTAGTCGGCCTAGCAAGAAAACCTGTACAAATGTCTGGATCTATAGACATAACCCTAAAGCTCAGAACCGAAGTCCCATAAAGGAAAATTGGAGTTTATGGTAGCAGACATTCACTTTCCGTACAATTCCATATTAGGAAGACTAGCCCTATTTGAATTGGAAGCGACCACATGCATTAGGTATCTCACCATGAAGTTTTACTTCGACAAGGGCGAAGTCGTCGTTATTAGGGGAGACTCGAATATAGCTCAGGAAGCAAATAGATAGCACTGAAAAGGTTACCTCTTCCCCTACCAATCATGTGGATGCTAGAAGAAGAACTACGACAAAGTCAACCAAACACCAACCCTTTGATAACCCCAATCATAATATAGACCAGCCCAACACCTGTGGGCGAGCTGATCACATAGGAAGTGAAACAGGGGAAGAAGTTAACGTCGGAAGACGATCTACTGAGAGAGGTACAGGATTGTATTAGGACAGTTTTAGGGGATAATGTTAACAACTTCGGCTGGACCGCGGAAGACATAATTGATATCGATCCTGATACCATATCCCTTACGCTCAGCATTGACCCGAAGCTTTAAACCGATAAAGCAAAAAAAGCAGAATAATGGTCTAAAAAGACAGCATGTTATAGCAACTGAAGTGGATAAACTTTTGAAATCAAAGTTTATAAGGAAGGTGAACTATCTAGAATGGCTGGCGAACGTTTGAAGTGGATATTAGACTTAAATTGAAATCCTCAAATTTATGAAGGAAGGTGATACTATCTAGATATTGAATTGGTTGAGCCGAACGTAGTTTAGTACCAAAAGGAGTGCAAATGACACAGAAGTCCAATGGAAAATGGAGATTATGTGTTGACTTTACTGATTTGAACAAGGCATGCCTTAAAGATCCTTAACCTTTGCGCAATATAGATTAGCTGGTAGATTCAGTAGCCGGCTATGAAATATATAGTTTTATGGATACAGAAGTTGGATGAGGAAAAGATGAGCTTCATCACTAATAGGGAAATTTATTGTTATCAAGTCATGCTATACGGATTAAAGAACGCAGGAGCCATATACCAGAGTTGGTCAATAGCATGATCCAAGATCAGATAGGTGAACCATAGAAGTATATGTAGATGACATGATAATAAAAAGTACTCAAGCTGTCGACCATCCTAGAGACCTACATGAAGTGTTTGAAATCCTGAATAGGTTTAATATGAAGTTCAATCTAGACAACTACACATTCAGAGTTAAGGCGAAGAAATTTTTGGGTTTTATGATATTATGAATGAAGTTCAATCTAGCCAGACTGACCACATTCAGAGTTAGGCAGAGAGGAAGAAAATTTTTGGTTTTTATGATTATCATGAA